AGTTTCTGTGGCAGTGCCGCAAAAATGACAATGTCTCGTTGGGTGTGCGTGTGTTTGAGAGAGAGAGAGAGAGAGAGAGAGAGAGAGAGAGAGAGAGAGAGAGAGGAGGACGCTGGGTGGCATAAGGCCGCAGTTTTGTGTGATGCCAGGCAGAAATAGAGCACTGAGGAAGGAAACTCTGCAACATGGTGCTGTCGTGGCAATGGCAGGCATTTTTCAGGTCCCAACCAGGACAGTAGACCCACCAGTAAGCCCTGAAATATGGATGCCACCACAGCGCCATGACTTGGGCATCTGGTGACAATGATACCCCCAACACTTACACCCGTCATGATCATTGTTAGACGATAGCACCACCGATGCCGAGAGCCTCTTCTTTCTGAACCTTTTGCCTCATGCGGTCCCTTGAGGCATTCCACAGCAAGGGACTTGGGATTGCCAGTTGTGTATTTCGGTCACAATGATGTGAAGTTCATGTCGTTGACATGTTGGCATTCTTGGTTTGACAGTCAAGAAAGACACAGCGAGTGAACTCGCGAAGAAACGGGAGCAGGAGAAGCAGCGATTGGAAAAGTTGGCAGAAACAAGACGAGCTGCTCGCTTAGCCTGGAGTAGCAGCCGTAGCCGTAGTCGGAGTCGGAGTCGCTCCCCTCCACGGTAAGCAGGAGTCGCTCCCCTCCATGGTGAGCATATATGTTGTTTCCGGAAGTCGTCGATCACTCTCTCCTGTGAACGAATGGATCAGGAAGTCTAGCCGGAGCCAATGATTACTCTCTTCTTTTGTCTTTCTCTGTCTTCTTCGTCAACTATCTTTGTCAGAGTTTTTCAATTTTTTTCTCCTTCGTCAACCGTCTGTGTTTTCCTTGTCAACGTCTTCTTGTTCTTTGTTGCCGTCTTCATCTTTGTTGTTTTCTTCATTTTTGTCTTCGTTGTCTTCTGCTTTGTTGTTGTTATTTTCTACTTTCTTGTCATCATCTTCTTTTTCGTGTCCCTTGTCTTCTCCTTCCTCTTCGCCGTCATCTCCTTCTTCTTCTTCTCGTTTTTCGCAGTCTTTTTCGTGTTCGACAACTTCTTTTTCTTCTGTTTCTTCATCGTCCAGTTTCTTCTAAAGTTAATAAAAGTTTGTGTTTTCTTAGGCTAATGAAACAAAAATGCTAAGAATGAAAAAATAATGACCTATTTCAACATACATGTCCTTAGTACATTTAATTTCAACTTGGGCTCATCATGCTCTTCCTCTTCCTCTTCCTCTTCCTCTTCCTCTCCTTCTCCTTCTCCTGCTCCTGCTCCTGCTCCTCCTGCTCCTCCTGCTCCTGCTGCTCCTCCTCCTGCTCCTTCTCAAAGATAGATTTTTTTTTTTTGTAGGGTAATGCAACAAAAATGGTAAGAATGAAAAAATAATGACCTATTTCAACATACATGTCCTTAGTACATTTAATTTAAACTTGGGCTCATCATGCTACATTAGCTGGTTTAAAACAACAAGCCCTTTATGGCATATTAGCCACTATTCTTCTAGCTTCTTCTTCTTCTTCTTCTTCTTCTTCTTCTTCTTCTTCTTCTTCTTCTTCTTCTTCTTCCTCTTCCTCTTCCTCTTCTGCTTCGCCTTCTGCTTCTCCTTCTCCTTCTGCTTCTGCTTCTCCTTCTCCTTCTGCTTCTCCTTCTCCTTCTCCTTCTCCTTCTCCTTCTCCTTGTCCTTGTCCCTCTGCTCCTCCTCCTTGTCCTTCTTCTCCTCCTCCTTCTTCCTTCTCCCCCTCCTCCTCCTTCTAATGGCTACCTAATTTCTGATGGGTCTGTTTGGACAGGAGGCGGCGAACAAGAAGTCCAAGTCCCAGAAGACATTATCGTTCAAGGACCCGATCAAGGTAAGAAGACCACT